GAATGTATCTATGTAAATGTAACTGTGTAAGTATATGGGTGTATGTGTATTCATGTATGTATGTGGATGTTTGTCGGTATATGTAGTGTGTAGATGTGTGTGTATTTATGAATGTATGCAAGTATGCATGTATGTAAGTATGTGGGTATGTATTATGTATGTGTATGTATGTATAAAAGTATCTATATGTGTGTATATATGTATGTATTATCTGGGTGTGTGTGATCGTGGGTGTGTGCGTGTGTGTGCATGCATGTGGATATATGAATGTATATTTAAGTTTGTGTGTATTTATGTATATATGTTGTAAGTATGTGTGACTATATATGAGTATGTGTGATTGTGGGTATGCGTGTACATAATGTAGGCAAGTATGTATGTATGCATGTATGTGAGTATCTGTATAGGTGATTGTATATGTGTGTATGCATGCATGTGTGGGTATGTATGTAATGTGTGTCGGCATGTATGTGGGTGTGTGTATGTATGCATGTTTGTGGATGTGTGTATGCATTTGTAGATGTATAAGTATGTGGGTGTACATGTGTGTATTTAGGTATGTATGCAAGTATGCATGTATGTGTGTAAAGATGTAGGTGTATGTATTGATGTGTGTGTGTATGTATGTGTGTATGTATGTTTACATGTGAGAGTAAATGTGTGGTTGTGGGTGTCTGCACATGTAATTGTATGTGTGTGTATGCATGCATGCGTGTGTAGGTATGTATGGAATGTATGTGTGCATATATGTCAATAAATGTATGTGTGTGTCTTTTTTGTTTGTGTATATTTGTAGATGCGTTTATGTATGTATGTATCTATGTATGTATTAGGTATGTCTGTATATGAGTGTGCATTAATGAGAATGTGAGAGTATATATTTGTGTGTGAGGGTGTGTAAGATTGTGTACACATGATGTGTGTATGCATTATTCTATAATGTATATTTCTTTATTATATCCATATCCTGCATTTTAGATAACAGGCATTAGTATTCTAAAAAACGAGTGCTTAGAAGGGCCGAATGTCAGACGTGCCCAATTTGTAACCCTTTGAAAATAAAGTTTGTTCGTTCGTTCTTTATGTGTGTTAGACTTACTGCAGTGGACTTTCGCGTATACTACAGTTTCCAGACAGACTGGCTGGCTCTGCACAACTTGGTGGAATACTGATACATGACAGGGCAGACGTGGTTAGTGCCTTGTGGGAGAGCATGTACAGTTGGAGGAACAGATGGATCACCACGGTCTGGTGAGATTGATGCAGCAGGGTGTGACGAGAGGTTCTGACAGATGCTTGAGGCTCAGAGGAAAGGCAAGACGGACGTTTAATCAGAATGCTACTGGCACCATTAGTATCGGAACTCTTTGCTGGCTGCTGAAGATAGGGATGGAGCGCTTTTGGGAATGTCCCGAGTACTGTGATGTCAGTTTTTGAATCAAATTAAATCAAATCAAATTAAATGCCTAGGGGCATCGGGTGTGGCAGTGTATGGACAGATGAGTCTGTTTCTTTTCCCAGGCAATGGTTTATGAAGAACACATAGCTTGATGCCATTTGCATTTACTGTGTGCACATATTTCTGAATTGTGCCAGAACTAATAATTGTTTATTTACCAGTTTAACAAGTAAGATAATGTGGGCGCCCTTTGAGAGCGAGTGAACAGTGCGGAGGTGCAGACAGATCATTACCATCTAAGGAGAATCGAGCTGCAAGGAGTGGCCAGGGGATCTGGCCGACATTCAACACTCAGGGAAAGGATGAGACGGATATACAATCAGACGGCTACTGGTACCATCGGAATTGGAACTCTTCGCTTGCTGCTGAAGATGGGGATTTAGCACTTATGGGAGTGTCCCGAGTGCTGTGATGCTGATTCTTGATTCAACATTATTCACCAGTTTTTCAAAGGGGACAGTGAGGGACAATTCATCCGATTTTCACTGGCACAGGAACGGAGTTAAGTATGAGGTGATCCAATAGCAGTGAAGTTGAAACTTCGACCAAGACTAAGACTTAACTCTTTGAGTCCCAGGGGGTTTAGCATCACAGGCCCAAGGGGTAGTCAAGGGAGACGTGAAAATCGGCACATCATGCGTTCACTGGGAATCTAGGTAGGAATCTATGAACGTATGATGCGTTCCTTGGGACTCAAAGAATTAAGACATAACTTGACGGGAATCACACATGACGCTTAGGGCGGAAATTTCTAAAGAACATGGAACACATACCTGGGGTAGAGTTCCCTTCACAAGTGCAGGTATATCCTCGGTTGTATAGCCCAGGGACTGGAGGCCATCAGGGCACTCAATATCATGCATCATTTTCACAATCACATCATGAAGAATGTTGCCTGCATCTTCTTTTCTGGCATTGCGAACATCCACACCTGGGGACGTTAACACAAAATCACTGACATTTAAGTAACAGTTTAAAAAGTATAATCTCTCTGTATGAGAGCCTGAGCCCCATTTGGGGGAGGAGGAGGGTTACAGACCCACCTCCCTGCAACAAGCATGTCCTACAAGGCAAATAAACAGAAATGCTTTTTTTAAAGTCAGAGTGCATCTGCATGACAGGCAAGGAACCAACAGTCTGCATTTCCAGTCTGCACCACGAGGAGGTGGGGGCTGGCTTGTGCAACTACGGGACAGCAAAAGGTTACTAATTTTTGCTTGTCCCCTTCTTAGGAGAATTAGTTACCGCCAACACTACAGGCTGCAGTGCCAGGCATGAGTACACATTGCTGACCAGCAGGCAGTTTACTGTCGACTCCTTTCGCGCATCTTTATCAGGAATTCTACCAGTTCAGGAGGCAAATACAGAGACTGAAGAAATTAATGAACTTCTTTCTGCAGATAACCAGTGTCTATTACACCACCAAGAACAGAATTTACGACATCACACTGACTCCTTACATCAAACCTGCACACAGTATAACATGAGAATTTACACCGCCAAAACTGAGGTAATGGGGATAGGCAGGAAACATAATATCAGGAACGTTCATGTTAACAGTACTATAATCAAACAAGTACGAGAATTTAAATATCTAGGAAGAATATTTATGGAGGATGACAGACTCGACAGAGAGCTAGAAGTTAGAGTAAAGAAGGCAAATGCTGTCACCTACCAGTTAGCCTCACTGCTTAGGCACACAAAAGTCTCCCTTCAAGAAGACAGCTAATGATTAATGGCATCTTTATCCCTACTTTATGTTATCAGTGCCAAACAAGGACAATGAATAGGGCACTAGAACATAAAAATTACATGGGAAATGTGCCGTCTCCGCCCAAGAAGAGACAGTTTTATAAAGAAAGTTGGAAAAAGACCATGTCTGGATTATACTGACAGACAAAGAATTAAATGGTTCAGTCATCTAGTACGAATGCTGCAGTCCAAACTGCATATGAGACTTTACAGCCGAAAATCTGGGAGGAAAGGCAAGAGGAAGATCAAGAAAGATATGCATAAATGGTGTGGCCGAAACCTGCAAAAAGATGACCAAATTCATCACCCAAGCCACCTGAGAAGCGCAAAACAAATACATAAAACCATGATACTGGGCTACAACCTGGTATCAGTGAAACGACAGAACCATGACACTGGTCTATAATCTGGTATCAGTGAGACTAGAAAAGAAAGAAAGAAGAAGATATATCTTTATATATCATAATATAAATGCATTTTTAACAAATTTATTAATAACTTGTGTAAAACTTTTTTTTTACAGATTCCTGGGTGGGAACATCAAATGGGGTTACGATTTGTTTTATTTTTTAGTGTTTCTTTGGGGAAAGGGTTTTGCCAACAAATAAAACTTACCTAAAGCTTCAGCTGCCTCCAGATGGCGTTCTGGACAGGCTGGAGCAGTGAACTGAAACACAGCAGGGGCCGTAATCACAACAGACAATCCATGAGGCTGCAATATGCAGAAGAGGGGAAACATTTTTAAAATTTAAAAACGATGCAGCAAACTCCATTAGCAGGTCAATTTGTTCCTTCAGAAAGTAAACATTACTGGATGATAAGCTCTTTTCTTTTAAGTAATACAAACAGCACAGAAAGTGAGAAGCAACAATGAAATTCATAATCTGAGGGCTAACAGACTGCACTGGTTGGGGAATACTGAGAGAACGGCAGATAACAGTGAGATTAGAAACTGCCCACACAAAAAAGAGCTGAATGGGATTAGAATATGAAGCAGGCCAAGAATACAACAGAGATAATATACTGTGAGACCTACAAACACCGGGAATCATGAACCAGAAAATGTTAAAGAAGTGCTGAATGAGAAGAAGATAAAGAAGAAGCAGAAGAAGAGACAAAGCAGAAGAAGAAGAAAGAAGGAAGAGGAAGGAGAAAAAAAGAAGAAGAATTTAAAACAAAAACAGCAGATCGATTGATTAAGTGGTGAGCTACTTGAGCCCTGTGAATCTCAATAGTCTTATACTTCAGAATTTCCTTTCGAAGTTGGAGTGCATCTATCTGATAGGCACCCAAAGTTCACAAACAAGATCTAATTGCTGCTTTCATAGTCAAAGCGTCTTCAATGTCTTATATGTTTACCCTTAATTCCTTATATGTCTACCCTTTAATATCTACCCTTGGGGAGGCTAGCCCATGCCTGTTTTCCAGAAATTGTATAATGTGGCCAAATTAAACCTTTCAGGACAGAATGCTGTTTATCAGCCAGCTTTCCTAGGTCAGGGCTATTCGACTGGCTGTCCGATAGCCACATCTGGCCCGTGGAGGCCTAGCAAGTGGCCCACGAATCATTGGCAGCTGTATTATCTTCATGATCTTTCTATGCCAGGGTTCGGGTCTCTGGCCCGTGACAATCTTTATTTTTAAACTTTTGGCCCCCGTATAAACTCAGTTGAATAAGCCGTGTCCTATGTGTTTAGATCGTGTAGGACGTCACTTTAAAAAAAACAAAAAAATATGTTAAAAGATAATTACAGTTACAATCTTTCAACCAATATTCTTATACACTCACCACTAGTGGATGGTCATCAGAGTAGTCCTTGGATTTGAAGTTTTTGACAAGACCAGAGATTGGGTAGGACATGCCATGGCTGAAACATAAATGGAATCATTTTTCATCCCAAAATGTTTAAACAACCTCTGAATTATCATCTCTGCAATGTATTTAATGAGACAGATGTAGCATAAACTCATCACCAGTAAGTCAGGTGCCAACTCCACAATGAAGGTTGGCTATAATGGACCAATACACTGTCTCTTATTATTCTTCTTTTTCGTGGCAGAAAGTTCTGGCTGTTCATCCACTCGTTCCCTTTCCAGAACTTTAATGTTACGTGCACATCTGTTTTACAGATCTGCTTACTTGTAAGTAGACATCCGGTTCCTCCTCTCTCAGGCAGATGTGTTCTGACTTCAGAGGACAAATCCTTTATTAGTGTTTGCCTTTTTACAACAAGCCTGAGAGGTGGTGGGTCTATTCTTTTCTTCTTCCCCCAAAACTGGCCCCAGATCTCACATGGAGAACTGTCTCCTGTCTTGGTTGTACACTCTCTCAGACTGCTGTTTGTCCATCTCTTGATACAAGGCCACCAATGTTGGCACCTTTCCTTCACTACAGATGATAGCGCTATAAAGAGGCATGGGCTTCACAGCCTGTGACGATGGCGAGGGCAACTAGTGCCTCCACAGCCTGTGACGATGGCGAGAGCAACTAGTGCCTCCACAGCCTGTGACGATGGCGAGGGCAACTAGTGCCTCCACAGCCTGTGACGATGGCGAGGGCAACTAGTGCCTCCACAGCCTGTGACGATGGCGAGGGCAACTAGTGCCTCCACAGCCTGTGATGATGGCGAGGGCAACTAGTGCCTCCACAGCCTGTGACGATGGCGAGGGCAACTAGTGCCTCCACAGCCTGTGATGATGGCGAGGGCAACTAGTGCCTCCACAGCACAGAACCTGGGCAGTTTATAATTATAAATACTACATGTCACACATGCAGCATAAAAAAGTAAAAGGTAAAAAGTCGGGAGATGTGAACCAGCGTCATTGCACACGGTTATAAACCATAAATGCTCTGCCACCAGTACGGACAGCTGATAAGAAACTGCCTGTGTCGCCGTCCGCACGTAACTCCGTAGCTACAGCAACGTTCCTCCATTTACCCCTGAGTGTCAACTCTGGTACCCATTTCCAAGAGGCTGGGTGAGCCCCAGGAACCGCCTAGCTTTGAACACCGACCGTGGGCTGCAGCGAATCACAGCTGGATTTGAAAGTGAGTCTCCTATTGACTGCACTAACACGGCGGGCTGCCTGTTTTGTAAACCCAAAAGGAAAGGCAACATGCACACATGCGGGCGCAAGAGCAGTGATGGAGAGCCTAGTTTCTGGAAAACAGGCTGGCCTCCGCAGGGGTAGATATAAGACACTGAAGACGCTTTGACTATGAAAGCACACAGGGCTGGAGAATTGGCTAGAGAAAGACTTTCAGGCGTACCGTGGTGGGAATAACATTCTGTAAAGGGCCTGCTGACTGATTATGGCTCTAGGGTTGACGAGAGGGAGGGAGGGAGGGAGGGAGGGGAGGGAGGGAGGGAGGGAGGGGAGGGGGAGGGGAGGGGGAGGGGGGAGGGGGGGAGGGGAGGGAGAGATGGAGAGGGAGGGGAGGGGAGAGAGTTCGGAGGGGGAGGAGGGGAGGGAGAGGGACCGGATGAGGGAGGGGAGGTGAGGAGAGAGAGGAGAGAGAGGAGAGAGAGAGAGAGAGGGAGATGAGGACTGAGGACTCGAGGGAGAGAGAGAGAGAGAGGAGAGAGAGAGAGAGAGAGAGAGAGAGAGAGAGAGAGAGAGAGAGAGAGAGAGAGACAGACAGATAGAGATAGACACAGAGAGAGACACACACACATATTCATGTTGTTTTTTTTTAACCATATGAATCTATTAAATTTTTATTAGCATATATTTTATCAAAGGAATGTCAAACCTATCATATTTAATGAAAAGAAACCAGTATGCTGTAGGGGACAGTGGTGCAGTGTGTGTGCTCAGGTGTTTGCAGTGAGGTTTGGCAGGGACACTTGGCAAATTGTGCAACCTTTATTTATTCTGCGCCCACATGCAGTGTCCTGTACTCTGTTGAAAACCTGGCTACTGCCTTCTGTTTTAGTTTGCTGACTGGGTCGTCTGGGTGTTTGCTGTTGGTCTCTGCCTCCAGAGTTTCTGTACTACTTGATAAGTGTTATCTTTTATTATCTCTTATTACAGTTATAGGATGTGTACTGTCACCTGATTTATTTTAACTATACCAGACTTTTTTTTTAAAATGACCTAGACTCCCAGGTGACCCAGCCTTAAGTGGGTACCGAGAGCAGAAGTAAAGGTGGCCGGCGTGATGCTGACCATATGACCCATCTTGTGCCGATTGGTCTATAAAAATATAGGTCTAGCCCTACATGCCCTATATGCCTAAAGGCGTAGAAAAGGGACCTTAACTTTTTATATTAAAAAAAGACAAAAAAAGTAAAGTTCCCTTTTCACGCCTTTCGGCGCATCGGGCATATGGGCAGAGCGTCCCATATTTTTACAGACCATCAGCACTCTGTGGGTAATGCGGTCAGCATTACGCCGGCTGTCTTTACTTTCCCAGGACAGCCCATCCTGGTACCCATTTTAGGCTGGGTCGACCTGCGACGTCCCATACCACGACAAAAATCCATGCAGCCTGCAGTGGGTTTCGATTGGGGTATGCTGGCTTACGAGTCGGACTCGCAACGCCTTAGCCACGGAAACTTTTTATATATACAGTGAATATATAAGATCTTTAACTGATATGCCCAGAATTGTGGCTGGTGGGCATAATATAAACAATTTACGTTATGCTGATGACACAGTCTTGATAGCATTAAGTCAGAAAGAACTACAGGAAATGATAGACATTGTGGTGGTAGAAAGTGGAAGAATGGGCCTCATTTGAATAAGGGAAAGACAGAAGTAATGGTGTTATTAAAGAGAAGAACTGTTCCTAAATGTGTAATAAAAGTCAATGGTGTTATTTTGGGACAAGTGCAGAAATTTAAGTATCTGGGCACATGGATAACATCAGATGGAAGATGCATAACTAAGATAAGAAACAGAATAGGACAGACAAAAACTGCATTTTATAAAATGAAGAACATCGTATGCAATAAATCCTTGTCATTGAAAGTTAGAAAAACAATTCTTGCTTGCTACATACATCCAGTTTTAACATATGGCTGTAAGTCCTGGACAATCGGTAGGCAGGTCGAAAAATTTCTTGAGGCCTCAGAGATGTGGTTTTACAGAAGAATGCTTCAAATACATTGGACAGACAAAAAAAGCAACCAAGAGGTTTTGAAAGAGGCGGGAGCTCAGAGACAACTTATCACAGACATCAGAAGGAGACAGTCATCATTTTTCAGCCATGTTATGAAAAGAGGGAAAATGGAACATGTTGTGACCACTAGAATGATCTGTGGAAGAAGGGATAGAGGAAGACAACAAGAGAAGATTCTTGACAGTCTTATGGCATGGAGGTGTGTCAGCACACAAATTAATACATGTTGCAGGAGATCGCGGAGTGTATAGAGACATGATTGCCATACCAGTCGGCAAGGCACCTGATGATGATGATGAGTACAGTGTTGTCTATCATTTTGTTACCACTTGTTATGATACGGAAACAGATGCCCTCTTATTCCAGTGTTACTGTTTTTATAAATAGTAACGAGTAAAAAATGACCTTTTTCCACTCATTCGGGCATATACAGCTAGCCCTATATTTTACAGCCCGACTGGTACTCGGCAAGTAATGTGGTCGAAATCACTGTCTTTACTTCCCGGGACTTTACCTAGTATCCACTTAAGGCTGGGTCGACCTCGGAACCAATGTCATATCTGAAAATAGTCAGGATCTGAAGCTATGACCTTCAGACCTGCAGGCGAGCAAAGAACGGTAAAGCTTACCATAAATGTGTGCCAGCATTGCCAAAACCAATTCCAGCGAAACAACTGGCCAGCAACATCTGTGACCGAGCCTCCTTGTCGTCAGCGTTATAGACGGCCCTGAGGATAAGCACAAATACACAAACAGAAAATTAGTAACCATGGAAATGAGGTGTCTGAGAAAGGCTGTAGGAGTGACCAGAAGAGATAACATCAGGAATGAGGTCATACGAGATCAAGTCGGCATAAAACCAGTTCTAAATTCCTTACAAAGACTGCAAATCAAATAGTTTGCCTACTTATAGAGAATGCCTTCTGATGCTACATCATTCAAGGCATATACAAAAAAAGGAGAGGGACGAAGAGCAAGAGGTATACCAAGAACAAGAAGGAAGGATAACATCAGAGAAACTATGCAGCACTACGATGTGTCTTTGGTCAAAGCAGCCAGAAAAGCATGAAGAAGGACCTTTTATCTCCCTCGACAACCAAAGCGATAAAAGAGGACGTAAAGAAGACTAATGGCTAACTGGTGTTAGCAGTAGAAATGTGTTAATGTTAGCAAAAGAAAACAGAAAACGGAAGGTCAATTACATCAATTACCAATTAGCTCCCTCCCTCTTTTTTTTAAGGCATGAAAATATCAACATGCCCACACAAAAGCGCTATTCAAACCAACTCTGTGCTATAAGTGTCAGACATGGACAGTCCTAAAAAAACAAATGCAAACTGATAACATGTGAGATGAGATGTGTAAGAAATGGGGTGGGAAAGACAATTAAGAGACAGAGTCACCAACTAAGAACTAAGGACAATGCACACACACAGAATACAGAAACACGTAAATATATAGACACACATACATGCTATAAATACATACAAAGAAGCAACATCAGGGTTCAGGGTGCCTAAAGAACTAAATAACAGAGATGAAATGCCTTAGAAGAGCTGCAGAAGTTTCAAGGAAAGACAGAATACGATATCAGACGAATGCTAGGAATATAGCCAGTCTTACAGGTCATCAAAGAACAACGAACAAAGTGGTTTGGACACCTAACAAAAATGCCCTGGTACCACAGCAAGCCACACTGAAACGTTATAATAGGTATCAGGCGAAGCGAATGGAAGACCTCAGAAAATATGGAGTGACGGCATTAACAACAGCCTTACAGAAATGAAGACCAATCTTAATAGTGCCCTTGAGAGAACTCAACAAATGTTACGATCCCCCCCCCCCCCCCAATCACTCACTTCACTGAGGTACACGGTGGAAGAGAAGAAGAAGAAAGAACTTACCTTTTAATGTATTTAGCAGTAGTTCTAAGCGCATGCAATGACCAGATGTCACTGATTGGATTATTCCCCTGATAGGCAGGCCTTAAGCTGGGGTCTTCCTGTCCCTGGCGTTCAGTGTAAGGCATCACGGTGTATGACTCAATAGCATGGCTGCGGGAAATACAAGACATGATTATTGTATCATTTAGAGCAACAGGACTACACAGAACCTTTATAGCGTGGCATGTATCTTTTTCTTACGTGTAACAATTGATTAACAGTTTGTTTGATTTCAAGACCCACCATAGGTTCGAACCTGAAGGAAGAGACTTTTAAAAATGTCCTTGGCTCCCAGCTTTGAGTGAGTACCAAGTAAAGTCCTAGGAAGTAAAGGCAGCCAGCTTGTAAGTCTTGCTCCATAATTTGAGTGTCATGTGTAAATCTGTTTTACAGATCTGGCTTGTATGTATGCAGACTTGTCTCTTAGACAAATGTACTTCTACTTGGAAACACACCTAATCAGTCTAAACTTTTACACCATGCTTTGTAGGAGGCAGGGGGTCTTTTTTGGTCCCCTAAAATAGGGCCCTGGAACCCATATGGGGAAAACATGTCTTTAAATGATACAAGAGTAAACAGCACAGATATATGGTGAAAGATTACAGTCCAACCCTTCCTGTCGGTAAGGCTAACAGAGGCAAGAAATGCTTGAGTCGAACGTGTTGAGCGAAAGATTACAGTCCAACCCTTCCTGTCGGTAAGGCTAACAGAGGCAAGAAATGCTTGAGTCGAACGTGTTGAGTGAAAGATTACAGTCCAACCCTTCCTGTCGGTAAGGCTAACAGAGGCAAGAAATGCTTGAGTCGAACGTGTTGAGCGAAAGATGCAATTATCACAGCCTTGCTGTGAATGGGCTCAACACAACTGCATTGTCAGGTGAATGCAGGATAAACAAATAGGACAATCACTGATGGCTTTATAAACACAATAACTTAATAACAGTAGTCCAATATAACCTGAATGAATGAATGAATAAAGATTTGACACCACAGCACTCAGGACCATTCCACAAGTGCTCCGTCTCCTTTTCTCTAGCCAAGAAAGAGTCGACATGTTAACAGTCCCTGCTGAAACCTAATTAAACGTGCCTGTGCTAAATACCTTCCAGAACCTCTACTCACCATCCGTTGAATTAGTGTTTCAATGTATGGATTCTCCCTCTATTCTACTGCACTATCCATTTGATCCCAGGGAGTCTCCACCACATCCGCTTCAATATAAAGTAGCTCACTGCCCAGAGGAGCAGCAGCAGCCAATCTATCAGCCTGCTCATTACCCAGCACACCTGAATATCCTGGACGGTTAATCCATCATAGGCTCCTGATCTGAGCCTTATCAAGCGATGCCAGCCACTCTATGAGCAGGAGGCCAGTTAAAATTTTCCGAAGCATGTTCTGCGTCCCTTACATAATCATTAAAAAAAAAACCAGTAATACGACAACATATTCTGAAAGATCAGTTATCCAACACACCATAAAACATCGATTCCTGAGTAAGCTGCAACCCTTTCTGGCATGGTCTCCAAATGAAGAGGATCTAGAATGCCCAAAGTGGGTCGAAGGTTCCTGTTTGAGATACCTGAGAGACAAAATTTTAAACAAAAATTACCTACAATGTCAATTACGTCCTATAAATAAGAATTGTAAGTTGTGAAAAGATGACTATTCTCGTTATCTTGAAGTAGGCATTTTGCCATTGCTTTCATTCCTGGCAGTAACCCTGCTGGTCGGGTGACCGTAGCCACTGTCAGATTCTCTGCCTACAGTCAAACAACTTAAGACCATGACCAACAGTTTGCCATTGCTTTCATTCCTGGCAGTAACCCTGCTGGTCGGGTGACCGTAGCCACTGTCAGATTCTCTGCCTACAGTCAAACAACTTAAGACCATGACCAACAGTTTGCCATTGCTTTCATTCCTGGCAGTAACCCTGCTGGTCGGGTGACCGTAGCCACTGTCAGATTCTCTGCCTACAGTCAAACAACTTAAGACCATGACCAACAGTTTGCCATTGCTTTCATTCCTGGCAGTAACCCTGCTGGTCGGGTGACCGTAGCCACTGTCAGATTCTCTGCCTACTGTCAAGCAACTTAAGACCATGACCAACAGCGATCTGCCCGCTTCTCTCAACCTCAATTTTTTTGGATATATGAGAATGAATGGATTTGAGAACTTGGTAACAACTGGCAAGACTCATGAAAAGAGAGCGAATATTGAATTAAGAATTGACATCACAGCACTTAGGACACCCCCATAAGCGCCCTGTCCCTATCTTCAGCAGCAAGCGAAGAGTTGAAATTCTGATGGTACCAGCAACTGTGTGATTGTATATTCGTCTCGCCTTCTTCCTGAGTGTCGAAGATCGGCCAGATCCCCTTGTAACTACTTGCAGTGCCATTCTCCTCAGGCCATTGAAAAGAGAGCAAGGGGTAGGTAGGTAGGTGCCTTGCTGGAGAAAAAAAATCATCACTCCCACCCAGCATCCCCGAAGGGGGAGCTTTAGGTTATAATTGTGATTAGGTTATATACGCTATGTAATATGGTTTAGCAATGTATGCCAACAAGAGCCCCTGAAAAGGACTCCAGTGTTAATACAATCAAAGGAGACAAAACACCTGGAAGGTCTGGCCAGATGGAAAGGGGCGAGACAAAAACATTGAATTGATCCATGATTCTGGTGATCAAGTGAGATGGCAAAATTTGATAGCCTATGCTAACCAGCCCAGCACATGATAATGATGATGACTATAAATAAATCTATAAATCAATTAGGAAAAATTAAAAACAGCATTTGGGGTAAGAAAGAGAGTTCTCAAGTGCTATTTAACTTCACCCTGAGAACGTTAGTCTTCTCACATCTGGTTAAAACCCAGCCCTTTACATACTGATATATGACCAAGTCTGCAGTGGCCTGTTTTCAAACAATGTAGTTACATTTGATTGGTCCTATGTGCAGCTGTGTGCAGGCTAGAATATGAATACATACATCATCATCATCATCATGTAGCAGGTCCTTTGCAGAACGTCGCTCTCATCACAGTCTGCCTGAAAGAAACTCGGTTTCTCGCCAGTTCTCCCGCCTCATGTACTTTGACACTCAAGGAGTCACTTATATCCTGTGCCCATCTTCGTGTCGGTCGGCCTCTGGACCTCCTTCCTGGTACCATGCCTTCTGCTATAATTTTTTCCAATCCGTCGTGCGCTTGATATGACCAAAATATTTCAGCTTTCGAGAAAGAATGCTGTTTATTAGCCAATCTTCCTTGATGTTCAGATTTTTTAAGATGTCAATATTTCTCATCTTCTTTGTTCAGGATATTCTGAGAATCTTTCTATAGCATTTCAGCTCAAAAGCTCCTATTCTCTTTCTTAAGGACATGAATACATACAGTAAACTAAAATTAGTTCTCTCTTTCTCCTCTCTGTGTTCCTGTGGTGGAGGGCGGTATGGGGAAGAGGGTGTGGGGGGGAGGGGGGGGGGGGGGGGGAGGGTCCCAATGACCCCAACTGGCTTTTTTTTAATTTTAAAGCCAACTTAATATCAAAATTTCTAGTCAAGTCACACAGTCGCCCTGGCGAATGCATTACATTTAATGCTTGACCCTGTCCCTGCTTATTGATTACCCCCTTATCTATCTGTAAATATTTCTAGGGAACAAAAATGTTATAATGTATAAATATTTTTTTAAATAAACATCCAGAAACCATAAGTTGTTAACCCTTTGGCTCAGTACTATGGATACCGCAACCCTTCAGCCTTGATTCCATGATAGATACCGTAAATCTGGGATAAATGTGGCTTTTCTGCCCACACCCTGGAAGTGATTCTCGAACCACACCGAGTTCATCACCTAGTGGCCGCGAAGTCAAGTTTAACCAACTTCGCTAGCGAGCCGGGCAATAATGTATTTAACTTAGACCTTTGCAATCGGAGCCAAAGCTGATCCTAGCAGTTGTTTAAATGTTTTCTTCTTCAACTCACCTGTTTTTGCTTTCATTTCTTTGTAATCAAAAACAGCAGTTCCGGTTGTCTCACTCCCAGTTCCAGCTGTTGTAGCAACTAAAGATGAAATTAAGTGTATTGTTATATATACAGAGGTAAAAAAGGTAAAGTCTGGAGATGTGAACCAGCGTCATTACATACGGTTATAAACCATAAGTGCTCTGCCACCAGTACAGACAGCTGATAAGAATTGTCCGCCTGTGTCGCTGTTCGCACGCAACTCTGTAGCTACAGCGACGTTCCTCCATTGACCCCAGAGTATCACTCTGGTACCTATTTCCTAGAGGCTGGGTGAACCCCGGGAGCTGCCTGGTTTCCAACACTGACCGTAAACTGCAGGGAGTGGCAGATAGATTTGAAAGTGAGCTTCTTATCGACTTGAGATAACGCGGCCCCTGTATTGTTATATACAGCAAAGCTTGAACCTGTTACAGCTGGAAAGATTTATGGGGAAAGAGATGAAGAAAGACAATGAAAGAAGAGTTCAAAAAGCTTTTAGTAATGGCTCAGAACTCCTGTAATACCTGCAATCACAAGAACTAGAATCAAATTTGCTATAGATATTCATCTGTAGGTGAATGTTTCTAACTTTCAGAGTTGGCCTGAGGAGAAATGCTGGGCTCTCTTGTAGGAGCCCTGGGTTCAAACCCTCAGTGAGATTGTGGATTTTTTTCTGTCAGGGGCAAATATCTAAATCTGCATAGTCCATCCAGCTCAAAGACAAGACCCCCCCCCCCCTCCCCTTCCCGCAAACGTGGTGTATACAGACAGTAATGGCAGGCTGGTTTTTTTTTAGGGGGGAGTGGAAGGGGGGGGGGGGCAGAGTTAGCCTGTGCAGCGGTCTATTTATGTGGTAACTAGAGATTAAGCATTGTTTCCAAACCTGACATCATCTTGTATGTCTGCACTATCAAGTCACGTGCTTAACTTTCCTGACTTCCTTAACAACAAGACTGACAGGTTACAAGACAACGGTACGGTTTTTGTAGTTTCTATCGCACTTTCAGGATTTTCATTTGGAGCTCCCTCACAGTAATGGTTTTCTTTCATGACATTCCATAATGTTTGCATCAACAGGTGTTTTCTAATGTGGATGTTTTTATTTTTATTTTATCCACCTTCTATACTGGTACTGCTAACCTCAGGATCATTTCAGAGGGAAAGTGAGCTCCTTTCTGTCCCACATGGAGGGGAGAATGATTTAGCTTTTTCCTTTGCTGTTTCATCTGCTTTCCCCGCTGGGGGCCGGTACTGCAACTTTCCACTGTATTACTGGAGAGAACAGGTTCCAGCCCATGAAAGCGAGGTAATCATGAGCAAGAAAGGGTTTGTCACATGTCTTGTACCGTTGGATCAGTTCCTCTTCTTCTTAAGTCCATGCCGTGTGGAGTTGGTAGTCAGGTCTATCCACAACCTTCTGTCTCGTGTTCTTTTAATTAACTCTGACACAGCTGATCTTCAATGCTGTGATGTCAAACCGTCCAGCATCTGTTCTCTCTGTCTCCCTCTGCCTCTCCTTCCCTCCAACTTTCCTACCGTCACAATGTACTCCAGTTTTCTCCTCATACATGATGAAAGAATGTAGACTGTCTCTTTCTGATGTGGAAAATCAGTTCTCTTCGTGTCTTAGTTACTCTTTTTATCTGTCCAGGGTATTCTCATCATTCGTCTGTAAAACCACATCTCCATAGCTTCCAAATAAGTTTTCACTAATTTGCCAATTGTTCATGATTCACATCCGTATATCAATATAGGATTTATATAGCTTTTAGGAATTCTCTTTCGTCTCAACTGACAAAGAAAGATTGCATAAAATATTCTTCATTTTGTACAATGTTGCCTTTGCTTGAGCTAATCTTAAAGTTAACTTGGTTATTAGATCTTCCCTCTGATGTTATCAGGGTACCAAAGTACTTAAACATATAAACTTGCTTGAGGTGTCTCCCATTAACTTTCATATTGCATTTTGGAGGGTCAGTTTTTTTTTTTTTTTTTTTTTTTTTTTTTGTAATTACCATTACTTCTGTTTTTCTGCTGTTCAAACTAAGATCCTTGTTTTTCACTTTCTGCTACAATTATATTCATGATTTCTTTCAGCTGCTTCATTTTCAGTGACGAACACTATATTGTCAGCATATGACAGGTTAACAATATGCCCACCAACCCATATTAATCAGGATCAGTTACGATGATACAATACTGACATTAATAAGTTATCCACATACAGGCTCTCTGAGGCCCCACTGGGGGAGGGGGAGAGTATAGATCCAGTGCCCCCTAACAAGCAAACAAATAAGCCACATCTGTAAAATAAGACTAAAGACCAGAAGTGATAAAAAAGCCGAACTTTCTGCTGAGGTTTACAGGCAGTGAGTGCAAGAAAGAAGACAAATATGATCAATTACATTGTACTATGTAGCAACCAGACACAAAATCAAAGTTCTTCTACCAGCTGAAGAGGCTCACACACAAAATCAACATTCTTCTGCCAGCTGAAGAGGCTCACATACAAAATCAACATTCTTCTACCAGCTGAAGAGGCTCACACACAAAATTAACATTCTTTTACCAGCTAAAGAGGCCCACACACAAAATCAACATTCTTCTACCAGCTGAAGAGGCTCACACACAAAATCAACATTCTTCTGCCAGCTGAAGAGGCTCACATACAAAATCAACATTCTTCTACCAGCTGAAAAGGCTCACACACAAAATTAACATTCTTTTACCAGCTAAAGAGGCCCACACACAAAATCAACATTCTTCTACCAGCTGAAGAGGCTCACACACAAAATCAACATTCTTCTACCAGCTGAAGAGGCCCACACACAAAATTAACATTCTTCTACCAGCTGAAGAGGCTCACACACAAAATTAACATTCTTTTACCAGCTAAAGAGGCCCACACACAAAATCAACATTCTTCTACCAGCTGAAGAGGCTCACACACAAAATCAACATTCTTCTACCAGCTGAAGAGGCCCACACACAAAATCAACATTCTTTTACCAGCTAAAGAGGCTCACACACAAAATCAACATTCTTCTACCAGCTGAAGAGGCTCACACACAAAATCAACATTCTTCTACCAGCTGAAGAGGCCCACACTCAAAATCAACATTCTTCTACCAGCTGAAGAGGCCCATACACAAAATCAACATTCTTCTACCAGCTGAAGAGGCCCACACTCAAAATGACATTCTTCTACCAGCTGAAGAGGCCCATACTCAAAATCAACATTCTTCTACCAGCTGAAGAGGCTCACATAAACCCTACCAGCTGAAGAGAGGCTCACATAAACTCTACCAGCTGAAGAGGCTCACATAAACTCTACCAGCTGAAGAGGCCCACACACAAAATCAACATTCTTCTACCAGCTGAAGAGGCTCACATAAACTCTACCAGCTGAAGAGGTTCACATAAACTCTACCAGCTGAAGAGGCTCACATAAACTCTACCAGCTGAAGAGGCTCACATAAACTCTACCAGCTGAAGAGGCTCACATAAACTAACACATACCTGCAATAAGTGGTTTCAGAGTATGACGCACTGGAAGTCCTTTGCCAATTGGTGCATTAACATAGTCCAGGAGCTCAGCCGCTGGGTTACTGCTGTAGAGATTTGCTGCCTTGCAGGTGTCCATCACCGATCCACCTCCAACAGCCACGAACACATCAAACTTGTTGGCTTTACAGAAGTCTATTGCCTCTTTTAAACTGTTGGGATGAAAATAAATTCATGACGGCGAGTGAATTTTTAAAAAAAATGTATTTACACTGATCCTTATAGAAATCTTCTTCTTCTTCTTCATGTTCACTGGTTTTGAACTCCAGCAGAAAGTTCTGGTAGTTTGTCCATCTTTGGTCTTTAGTCTTGTTTCAGAACTTGGGTGTTGCATGCACATCCGTTTAACAGATCTGACTCAATTGTTTGCAGACTTTGTTCCTTGCCTCTCAGGCAGATGCACTCCAAATCTAAAGGAACCCCCAAATAGTGGACTCTTATGACATGCTTGTTGGGGAGGCAGTGGGTCTATTCTTGTTTCCCCAATATGGAGCCCAGGAGCCCACATGGGGACCTTACAGAAGTAAAATCACTGACATACAAAGTCACCCTAATCCCCACATACAAAGCAAAATAATAACCTACTTATTTAACCTACTGCCGGCTTGCTAGGCCTGCCAAGTTCAAGGTAGTATTTAACCAGAGAATCAATGAATCAGGTGCCATCTCCACAGTGAAGTTTGGCTGCAATGAATTTTGAACACGCTGTCTCTTGTCCTGGCTGTACTCTCAGACTACAGCCCATTCATCTCCATCGGCCATCCTCCCACTTGTATCGTTACCCACCTCTTGCTCTTTTGCCTTCGACCTTTTCCTTCAATATGGTTTTCAAAAGCCTGTTATGTCTTCTAATGTATTTCAATTGTCCAGAGATCACCTAGGAGTAAAGCAAGGTGAAGCCTGTCGATACCATCTTTGTGGTCAGGATTATAACCAACTGCTCATGGTAACAATGTTACAGGTACCTTGGAATGGCTGCTGCAGTGGAAGACTGAGCACACATGGGAATATCTAAGGTGCCCTGATGTTGACTCTAGATAAAATAACAACAACAAAATCTCACCTTAGATTGGATGGCTCCACCCGGACTCTGTCATAGAGCTTGTAATTAATCTGGTGCCTCTCTAGCGACTCCAGCGTAGTCTTCACTGGTTGGAGTTTGGCCAGCTTGGGATCTGTCATCACACAGACATGCTTGCCTCCAAAGTTCTTACAGTCCTGTTAATGTGGTCAAGCAAAGGGTTAGTCAGTTGCATGCTGCTGGTATGTTCTATCTGCAGATACACGACGGGCACTACTTCATCCCGTTGGCACTTCCCACCTTTCCAGATAAGTAAAGTAAAGGACCTTTTTTCCAAACCCGGTACCTGCTCAAGGCAGGGTCGAAATGGGAGCAACGGTCATTTTTGAAAAAAGTCCGGCTCCACCAGGAAGCGAACCCACGACCTAGCCGCTCAACCCAAGGCGACTACCTTTCAAGATGACAGTGTTATATTTTACTATGTGGAGACATGGGAATATGTTCCTCTTCTTCTAAGCACAAAGCCTGAGCAGTATTATCGAGACCACTGCTGCCCATACATCATGACCTCTCTCTCTGCTTGTCTTGTTTACGCTAAAGAAAGTGGGAGCTGCGTGGTCTTGAGGCATGGTGTCCGCCTCGAGTGCTGGAGGTCCTGCGTTCAAGCCCTGGTGAAGGCTGGGATTTTTTCACATGGACTTCAAGTTATTTTTTCCTGGTCTCTGGGTAGTAAAATCGGATGCCCCTGTGTATTGTTGCACATGTAAAAAAATCTCTTGGAAGTTGAAAATTGAAAAAGAGTAACCTAACGGCGCTGCCCTGGCAAAATTTAGAGTTTAAAATCTACCCAAAGTATTTCAGGATCCTTGCCAGGTGCTACAGAGTTCATGCGCTACCTCATATTCTTCAGACTCAGGCTTGAGTCAGAAGTAGAACGGAGCACTTATGAGTTACTACCCTTGTGACATGATGTTGATCTGTCATCTAAACCATAACCTAAACTCCAAAGCAAAAGTAACACCAATACATTTGGAACAAAGCATGCGGGAGAAGCTCTGGATCAGAACAGCAGTGCTCTGTCTGTCAACCTGTTGGAAGTTCTCCTTCTAGAACAGATGCCAGCTAAGGTCGTAAGTTTTCAGGTTGCATTTTAACTTCCTAGGATAAGGCTTGGAAGCTGAAATATTTTGGTCATATCAAGCGCCACGACGGACTGGAAACAATTATTGCAGAAGGCATGGTGCCAGGAAGGAGTGGCAGGGGCCAGCCCACACGAAGATGGGCACATGATATAAGTGACTCCTTGAGTATGAAAGTACATGAGGCGGGAGAGCTGGCGAGAGACCGAGTTTCTTTCAGGCAGACTGTGATGAGAGCGACATTCTGCAAAGGACCTGCTACATGATGATAATGATGATGATGGATAAGGCTAGTATCACTGCCAAAGTGCCCTTACACCTGAAGTCGTTCCCACAATATCGAGTGTCAACATTGTTATATGCCACCTAATACTTGGTATGTTATATGCCACCTAATACTTGGTATGTTATATGCCACCTAATACTTGGTATGTTATATGCCACCTAATACTTGGTATGTTATATGCCACCTAATACTTGGTATGTTATATGCCACCTAATACTTGGTATTAACAGAAAAAAGGTAGTACTGCCTACTGTTACACAGTAGCTGAGTCATATCTGACAAAGACCTGAAGATTTATATCTCTACCTAGAAGATGATAAAGCCCAGGATGGCTAACCTGGGCAACAAATGACTGCATAAGTCAGATGAGTCGCCTAAAAGGAACAAATACTGCAGCCATGCTGTAAACCGACACAACCCATTTACGTCTGCGGATGAATGCAGAAGAAGATAATAAAGCACTGATTGTCACCTACAAAGTTAGACAGAATTTCCCAGACAAGGATCCATTTCAATACGGGCACTGCAGTGACAATAACAAGATTACATGCCAGAAACTAGGAAATAATGACAATAATAAGTTTGCCTGCTTGTTTCCGTTCATTGGCTGCGAACTCCGGCAGAAAGTCCTGGCTGTTTGTCCATATGGACTCTGACCTGGTGCCAGAACCTGAGTTCTGCGTGTACATCCGTTTTACTGGTGTGAGTGCACTATGTTGTCTCTTCTTCCTGTTCACCAGATGCTAACTCCAGCAGAAACTTCTGGGTGTTTGTCCACTTCCGGACTTTTGTCCTGCTCCAGAGACTAAGCGTTGCATGCACATAAGTTTCAACAATCTGGCTTATTTGAATACAGACTTGTTGTTCCTTGCCACTCTGGCAGATGTACCCCGACTTCGAAGGATGTCCCCAGTCGACTCCTACGACATGATTATTGGGGAGGCAAAGGGCCTATTCTTGTTTTCCTCACAGTGGGGGCCCCAGAACCCACACAGGGATACAGCATGTTGTTCCCTGCCTCTCGAGCACATGCACCCTGACTTCGAAGGAAGACACTGATCCTCATATCTAGGATGACTGTAGCAATGATAGCAATAAGTGACAGTAGCAAAAAGTAACAAGAGGATTGACGGTAAAAAAGAACTGTAACTGTAATAATGTGTTTCTAACCTAATATACATCCCCAAAAAATTTTATTTCGACCATATTTTTTTTTAAACTATAAGGTCTATCATAAAATGCCATTTAGGCCTCAAGTCATGCAAAAGAGCCCTTTACTTTCTACTTAATACAACTCCCATCTTAAATTCTATATTCCTCATTACACTTACCATTCCAATTTCTTTGGTCACACCCTCACCATAACGTATATTTGAGCAAGCCATCTGAAACACAAGGTTGACATATTAAAACATGGGTTACTAGCACATACAGAATGAATCTGCGTAAACAAAAAAAAAAGACAGTTTTTCTTTATCTTCCCAGTGATTATGTTATACCATTAACTTCCTCTTGTACGGGTACAGGTATCATTGAGATACAAGGTTTCGGTTCTTGCTCTACCGATCGCCTTAATCGTATAGTTTATAATGTTAAAATGTTTCTCTAATAACTTTCCCCTCGTCCTCGTCTAGCTTCAGCACTAGGCCATCTTATATACCTGGTGTGCTATGATTATCACCTGGACTTTTTTTTTTTAAGTCGGTAAATCATGCTGTCCTTGTGTGTTAATTAGTATAAGTTCTATATACGTCTTTCGATGGACAAATTTCTACTTCTACAGGCATTCATTGCCTGAGTTAATTCCATATTAGTTTCTCAGCAGTGAAACTTGGGGACTATATGCTCTTCAAAGAAAGAATGGAATACTTCCCAGAAATGCTGTATAAGACGCACTCTTGGTGTATCATGGTGAGATTTTGTCCACAACGAATGTGGTACTCAGAACACTGTGTTGGAAGAGACATGTCTCTTGCATGGACGACAATCATACTCTAAAGGATCTACTCCAGGGCTATTCAACTAAGTTTACTCACTGGCCAACATGATGAAAATGGAGATTGTCACGGGTCATGGGCCGAAACCCCAACACAGAAAGATCATTAATACAAATAAAATTTGGCAACAATCCGCGGGCCACTTACTCCAAGGGCCACCAGTTGGATAGCCCTGCTCTATTTTATGGTTAACTGGAAATAGGGAAACGATCTGCAGCAAGGTCAAAGCTATGCTATCAAGACAATGCAAACATGACCTGAAAGATAATGACATGGACAGACACTGGGAGAAATCAGCTGCAGACTGACATATGGAGGCAAACAGTGAAAGACGGACTGTTACACTCTACAAGAGGCCTAACACAGTAAGCTACAGAGGGACGACGTCTGAGAGAAAATAAACCTCAGTATAATAGAGTATCAAAGTTTTTATGTGGTTTGTGTGGCACATCAACACAGACAGTGAATGATGTCCTGATAAATCATGGACATTTATAGATGATTCATGGACATTTATAGATGATTCATGGACATTTATAGATGTTTCATGGACATTTATAAATAATTCACCAGCACTTAATTTTTTTTTTTAAGAAGTTATCCAAAGCTGTTATGTTTTTTAAAATGTTCAGAAAGTGTCCAAAGGATATTATCTTCCTTTTTTCTTTCTTGCTGGCCATGTCACAGAAAGGACAAATATTGAATAAGTGGGCAAATATACCCTAAACAAATTTGCATGAAGAAACAGATTACATATTTTTTTTTCAACAGACGAATACTGCCGTGGATAAATATTTGGAGTTCCACTGTAAATGGTGGGGGAGGGGGGGAGGGAGGGAGGGGGGGGGGGGGGGGGAGATGAGATGATATTTCATTTTAAATGTTTCTTTGTAAACACTGTGCCCACTTGAAATTTAAAGTCAAATGGATCATCTTCATTGCAATGGGTTCTACTAGAGTCTGGGAATTGAACCTACGAGCATCAGAGTGAGGCACACAGCTTGATCACTTAAACCGTGGCTTTTCAACTAAGTTTACTAGAGGGCCACAATTTTTTTAACGGGGATCATCGCAGGCCAGAGGCTTGAGCCTAATCGTAGAAAGATCATTATTACAGTACAACTAGTGATGTTCAGGGGGCCACTTACTATGCCTCCACTGGCCAGATTTGACCCAAGTGCCTTCAACTGAATAACCCAGACTTAAACCATGCAGACCTTCATGTTGTTCCTACTAAATGAATAAGAACAATTCCTTAAGATTTAAAAATTAAAAAAACATTACATCACCTCAAAGGCATATTCTTTGGCTTGGCAGGCATGACTTGTTGAGAGTGAACCTGTTAGACATATATTTAATGTGTTAAATCTTATATGGCTTAGGGATGTGAATGCTGTTTCACAACTAATATACTAGGGTTAAAAGTCAGCTACAGGCGATGGCAGCAGACTTTTGTGTTCACAGCATCAATGGTATCAACACTGAAACACTTAGAAAGCAATGGCGAACTTCTTCGGCATTCCGAAGTTTGTTTTCTGTTTTTACTTCTGAGTGTAGATTTTCTCTCTGCCGCCTGTAGTCGACCTATTCTACTTTTAACTCTTTTGTGTCTGCAGGTTTTGTCTCACTTGTGTCGATTCCTCCCCACACACACACACAAAAGTTTTGACACATTCCATTTCTGGGGACAGCTTTTATCGAGTATGCTCTCTATAACAGTGATTCCTGAACTGTGCACCCTGGGGAGCTGCGACCTCTTCACAGGGACGCCACAAAATATTCGAGGATACAGGATTTTTATATTTTGTATCTCTTACATTCGAGCAGTCATACTTTTACTTAGGTTAGTGTGCCGTGGAAACGTTTTAATTGAAAAAAGTCAGCGCGGCTAAGAAAGGTTTGGGGAAACACTGGTCTAGACAATGGCAGTCACCTGCTGATAAGACCTTTTGACCTATTCCCCTTCAACTCTCTTGTGTCTGCAGGTTCTGTCTGCCTGTTATCCTGCCACTCTCTCTATATGCCCCAGCCACTGCAGTCTTGTTGCCCTCTCAACGCAACAATTAATGATGATTTAAAGAGTTTTTGAACTTCAGTGTTGCTTCTCACTGTTCATTCTCCACTGTGTGTATCTTTGACGAGTCCAAAGATTCGTTGTAGACTGTTCTTTGTAATAAGGCTTTACCTCTCTTAGTTGTACTGAAGGTTTCAATTGGCAAACTGGATGTAAAATCTTCTTCTTTTTTCCGACTTCTTATGCCGTAAAGCGCAGCAGAGAGAAGTTAGATTTAGTTTCCTGACTTCTGCTTAAGTTGTGTAGCTTATGTTAACCCTACCAGATATGTTAACCCTACCAGACCCTGGGCCCTGAACCTAACTGCCTCTTATACCTGAGCTCCTGGGAATTAACGCCAAAAAACCAACAGGATATACAAAAATGCTAGTTACATGCAAACAGGTGGCTAGAATAAGATGAAACTTGGAGACACTGTAGAAAATAGGTTTACCTTTCATCTAGCGCCAATATTCCACCTTTGTGTGCTAAACCACCCAGCAGGATCAACCTTGTTTCACAAAGTGATCACCAGATGTTGCTGTTTGAGGGACACGCCCCCTTTTCCTACTTTCGATCTATTTCTAGATTTCTAATTTTCAAGATTCTCCTTATCATTCCAGCTCTCACTGTCGTCACTTCAACTAGCTTTCACTGACTGTGTCACTTCAACAAGCTCTGACTGTGTCACTTCAACTAGCTCTGACTGTGTCACTTCAACTAGCTCTCACTGACTGTGTCACTTCAACTAGCTCTGACTGTGTCACTTCAACTAGCTCTCACTGACTGTGTCACTTCAACTAGCTCTCACTGACTGTGTCACTTCAACTAGCTCTCACTGACTGTGTCACTTCAACTAGCTCTCACTGACTGTGTCACTTCAACTAGCTCTCACTCACTGTGTCACTTCAACTTGCTCTCACTCACTGTGTCACTACCACTAGCTCTCACTGACTGTGTCACTTCAACTAGCTCTCACTCACTGTGTCACTTTAAGTAGCTCTCACTGACTGTGTCACTTCAACTAGCTCTCACTGACTGTGTCACTTTAAGTAGCTCTCACTGACTGTGTCACTTTAAGTAGCTCTCACTGACTGTCACTTCCACTAGCTCTCACTGGTCGTGTCACTTCAACTAGCTCTCACTGACTGTGTCACTTCAACTAGCTCTCACTGACTGTGTCACTTCAACTAGCTCTCACTGACTGTGTCACTTCAACTAGCTCTCACTGACTGTGTCACTTCAACTAGCTCTCACTGACTGTCACTTCAACTAGCTCTCACTGACTGTGTCACTTCAACTGGGAACGTATTCTTCATGAAATTATGACTCCGCAGAGTCTGAATAAACCAAAGTATCGTTCACCTGGTAGACTGTGAAAAGCCTAGACCTTCTTTACTTTCCTGTTGAAGTGCTTGGTTCATCAAACGCTCGTTTTATTGTGAATTTTCAGAATTTTTTCAAGTAAAACAACACAAATTTTATCCAAACATATGCGGGCGGACACCTAGGAAGACTATCTACAAGATCTGATTACGATTAGCTAGTTATTTTTAGTTTGTGACGCGTTGTTTTCTTATAGTATGCAAATTCCCGACATTCAGGGACAGCAGTTTAGCAGCAGGTTAGGAAATTCCCATAATAGCGGTCTGGTAGAGTTAATGTCATACTGCGTTTCTGTAGCACCTCTTCAACTTTTATCAACCCATCTCTTTCCTGGTCGGCCTGTTGCCTTGTAGCCTGCTGTTCTCATGTAGTACGCTCTAACAGTTGGCTGATTTTGTTCAATCCTGACCACCTGACCAAACCATTTCATTCTTTGATGTTCTATGAAATCAGTTATCTGTACTGTGCCTACCATTGTTCTTAGTTCTTCGTGGGGGATTCTATTTGTTTTTCCTGTCACATTTCTTTTTCATTACATCTCACATGTTGACCTTCTTTCTTGCATATTCTCATTTCATATGTTGTAATTTTGGATATGCTACCAACTAATTTTAAACTGTAAATATATCATTTGTGCACCGATTATGTAACCACATGTACACAAAATTCAAGATAGGTGTATCAGCCATGTGCACCTGTGGAAATGTGCCCCAGACCGCAGAGCATGTACTCCAGGACTGCACCAATTTTGACACATTAAGACAAACCTTCATTCATTCATTCATTCATTCATTCATTCATTCATTCATTCATTCATTCATTCATTCATTCATTCATTTATTCATTTATTCATTTATTCATTCATTCTTTCATTCATTGTGTTTTGTTTTGCACAAATGATATTCTTCTTCTTCTTCTTTCGTTCGCCTGAAATAAGTTATCTATATCAGCAGTTTTGTCTCTTGTATAAATTTCACTGTCGTTGTTAGTTCATTCAGTGGTCCATAGAGTTTACGTTCCACTGTTGTTCTTTCTGGCCAAAAGAAGATAAAGCTTTGTCTCTTTCCTGACACAAAAATATTGCAAGTAAAAGTAATGTTTATTCTTTCTTTATGCTGAAATCACCTAATATTAAAATTGTTATACTACAGCTGGGGTTAGAATTGATGCCACACTACTCGCATTAGCGTTAACAACACAGGTTTTTTTTATTTAGGAAATGTGAAATATATATATCAATAAATAAAACTTGTCAAGTAACTTACGCAAACAAGAAACAAGCATCCGTTCTCCATTCTGTAGTGACTTTCTGAAATTATATGTAAATGTTAATGTAGTAGTTTGTAGTTGCCCAAGCTGGCACAATATTATAATTAGATGAGAGTTAAATTAAAAACTATATGATAGTTAAAAACATCTGCTTGATAATATTATGTAACAAACATTGAGACAGACAGAAAGAAGATAATGTGTGTGTGTGTGTGTGCGTGCGCATGTAGGAGACACAGAGAGATGTAAAGAGTCAGAAATAGAAAGACAAGACGACAGAGAGGCAGGCAGACAGAAAGTTTCAGAGAGAGAGAGAAAGAAAGAGAGAGAGAGAGAGAGAGAGAGAGAGAGAGAGAGAGAGAGAGAGAGAGAGTAAGGAGGAGTCATAAAGAAACAGATAGAACAGAGTGACAAAGACGCTCACAGGGGCAACATAGGGGCAATATACTAAGAGATGTTCTACTGGGTAAACACAAACTTTTCACAAGTGGTTTTCAACATGGCAAACATCAGCAGTGTTTTTTTCAATCGTTGTGATTCCTCTCAGACTGTTCTGTTCTCTTATCATGGACTGCAATTTTGTGGGCAGTTCCAACATCGGACACAATGTGCTTTGCGTGGAAGCAACATGTGTTGGGGTTGTATTGACCATGCTGCCTTCGCAATGTTTTATAGCAGTGTCCTATTATCTGGGCAGACAGAATCTCGCCAGCAGGGGACTGCAACTGTCTAGAAAGCCAACTTAATAAAAGTTGTTCCTAGAAAAGGAATGTGTCAAATATTTGGGGGGGGGGGGGAAGGGGGGGGGGGGGGGTTGAGTGATCGACACCTACGGTTAAACTCAATGGCAGTGGCCATTAACTTGTAGCATAAGTTTTTGCTAATGATGAGAAAATGTCTATGAGAGAAGAACTTATAGAGAAACAACGTAAAATGAAAGTGAAATCAAACCAAAACTGACATCCTCTGGGGTCTGAGTAGCTTTCTGGCATTCCCTGATATCTGTAAAATGACCTGCTATATGATCTTCTTCTTCTCTGTGTTCCCCAGCTGTAAACTCTCGTGGAAAGTTCTGGTTCTTCGTCCACTTCTGGACTTTAGTCTTATTCCAGAACTTGAATGGTGTGTGCACATCTGTTTCACAAATCTGACTTATTTCTATGCAGACTTGGTTGTTTTTTTTTTTTTTGCCTCTCAGGCAGTGGCACTAGGACTCTGAAGGAAACCCTCAATTGGAATAAGAGCACTTAGAACTGTCTCAAAGAAATGGAGATACAATAGAGATATGATGCACTGTTAAGAGCACATCATCATCATCATCATCATGTGCTGTGCCATCTCACAGGATCACCTGATTCATGGATCAGTTCAATGCATTTGAGAGCACACAGGATACCCTATCATCGCTACACACATACACACACACACACACAACCTTCCTCACTCTCTGTCTCTCACACACTCAGATGAACTGAAGGAGCAGAAAAAGCTGGTCGATGGATAGTCATAACGATAATCAGACATGAGGCAAGAAGGTAGTAAAGAATAAAGTAGTTGGACAATGAGTAGTTAGGTAAGATAAACAGGTGGGCAGTATAAGTACAGTTGTAGGCAGGTAAACAGACAGGGGG